CGTAAAACCCATATGGCTCAGATAGCCTACTTGGATACAAAGGTTGAAGACTTGCAAAGGGTTATTAAAAAATCCTCTATAGAAATTAGAAATCTACCTAAAGAGAAGATATTTAACAACAAAAAAGAGATGTGCAATATAGTACAATCTACTTGCAAACTCCTGAACGTAACCGTTGCAGAAAGTGACATAAAGGATGTAATTTTACTAAAGGGCAAAGGTAATAATAACACAATAGTTACGGAGTTTACAAGAAACATCCTAAAGGATGATATTATTAGAAATGCCCGAATATATAACAGACAAAATCCTAATAAAAGACTAAGTTCTGGTGATATCGGACTAGCTGGAGAATCAAAGCCAATTTACGTATCTGAAGCGCTTACCAATAGGAGTCGCACACTATTTTCTCTGGCTCGTAATGTAGCAAAATCGGAACAGTACAAATTCTGCTGGACAAGCAATGGAAAGGTGTATATTAGGAAAACACAAGAATCGTCACACATTGAAATAAAGGACGAACTTCAACTAAGCAGTATCAAGAATGTCATATGACTAGTCTCTGTGGGCAACGAGAGGAACTATAAATGTCATAGGTTAGAAATACTTCATTTTATTTTTATTTATATTTATTACTTAAAACCTACATTACAAAATACAATATATAATGTTTCATATATTTTTATATACACATACACTGAAAAGTACTATACAACTACTCTATTTATATACATTCAAGTATCTGCTATGGGAAGCCTACTGTTAGTTTTGTTAAAGTCCTTAAAAATTCTGTATAAAATTCGATTTCTTAAATAATAATAAATTAAATTCCAACATAGATAAAATATCAACAGGCATGTCATATTTATGCGATCCTGAAACCTGTAAAACAATAATAAAGTCAGAACAGGATTATGATTATAATATTAAAGTCTTGACTCAAAATATAAGGAGTATATCCTGTAACTTCTCAAAATTTGAAGTCTTCCTTTCTAGGTTAGAAATAGAGTGTGAACTTTATATACTAACTGAAACATGGAATAGAAATTTATCAAATTTTCCTACATTAAAGGGCTATGATACGTACTACTCTAAAAAAAATTATAATCAGAATGATGGTATCGTTGTGTATGCAAAAGTAGGTTTCAGTTGTAATGTAAAGGAACAAGAACTATTTGACGCAACATGCATGATTATTGTAGTAAACCCAGATACAGTTATAATAGCAATTTATAGATCACCCTCACATAGAAATATTTATAACTTTATTACGTCACTTAATAATATATTAATTTCATATTCGAAGTATAAAAATATTGTAATTATCGGGGATGTTAATATTGACATTAAAATGGATAGTGAAGACCAAAATTCCTTCGATTATTTAAATTTGTTGGCAAGCCATGGACTCTTATCTGGTCATGATTTTCCTACTAGAGGTAAAAACTGCATAGATCATGTTATGCTCAAATGTAGGTTACCGGCAACTACTGTTGTGTTTTCCTCTCCTTTAACCGATCATTCTCCAGTTCTAACTACTATCAAAGTAAATAATAAACTCGAGAAAACTCCGCGTAACTATGCTAAGAACAAAATTAACTACAATGCTATCATCGCTGAATTAGAGAAAACGGATTTTGAAGACATTTTAAAATCATCTGATGCAAATTGGGCGACAGATATGCTTATTAAAACTCTGTCAGAACTAGTTGCAAAACACACGCATAAAATTTTTGCTCCTAGAAAACAATGGTGCCTCAAACCATGGATTACACCAGGTTTATTACGCTGTATTAAAAATAGGGACAGGATGCACATGCGAACAAAAAAGGACCCCACGAACTTAATATTAAACAGAACCTACAATAGGTACAAAAAATTTTGTAATGATTTGTTAAAAAGATTAAAAACAATTTATGAACAAGATGAACTAAAAAAACACATTAAAAATCCTAAAATGACGTGGAAGATTATTGATAATATAACAAATAGAAATACCATAAAGTCACCTCAAACTAATTTGCTTAAAATAGAACAAACCCCTGAGAAAGCTGTAGAACGTGTAAATAACTACTTTGCCAATGTTGGATGGAACCTAGCAGATAAGCTACTGAAAAATTCTGATTTTTGTTATTATAATGGAGACATAGTAAATCTTAATGAAAATAGTCCTGTAAATTCCATGGTTATGCTCGAAACTACAGAAGATGAAGTAAATTCAATAATTCTTGATTTAAAAACTGATTCAGCAATGGGACACGATAATATTCCTACTAGACTGCTAAAACTGGCAAAAGATATTTTGGTGCCTTTGCTTACGCATATTTCTAACCTGAGCCTAAGTTCAGCTACCTTTCCCAACGTATTTAAAACATCAATAATACATCCCATATATAAGGGGGAGATGGTGATAATGTAAGCAACTACCGTCCTATTTCATTGTTACCTGCAATGTCTAAAATTCTTGAAAAAATTATAAATAGGAGACTATTGTCTTACCTTAATGATAATAATATATTGTCAACAAATCAATACGGATTTAGACCAGGGAAGTCTACTAAAGACGCTGTCTCAGAAATGTCTGAATTTATAGCCACTCACTTAGATGCAAAAAATAAGTGTGTTGGTGTGTTTCTGGATCTTGCCAGGGCTTTTGATACTGTTTATGTCCCCACTCTTTTAAAGAAAATGGAAATATGTGGAATTCGTGGTAAAGTGCTTGATTTGTTCAAAGATTATCTCAAAAACCGTAAACAAATAGTTAAAATTGGTGATTATTATAGCCCTAAAGCTGATATATCCCATGGAGTCCCACAAGGTAGTGTCCTCGGTCCTACCCTTTTCTTACTTTATGTCAATGATCTCTGTAATTTATTAATTCAAAATTGTAAAGTCTTCACTTATGCTGATGATACTGCTTTAATTTTTTATGGGAAGACATGGGAGGAGACGAGAATCCTAACTGAAAAAGGACTTCAAATAGTGGCTCAATGGTTACAGATTAATCTTTTAACACTAAACATCTCTAAAACAAAATATGTTACTTTTGGCATTACAAAAAGATTAATTCCCACAGAACAAAATTTTCACATAAAAATACATAAATGCTTCAATGATATTACGACCGCAAATAACGACAGCTGTGACTGTGTTTACATATGTAAAACAGACACCATTAAATACCTGGGAGTTATACTCGACGAAACCCTAACGTGGAAACCTCATATTGACCTGCTATCATCACGAACACGACGACTTATTTATATTTTTAAAACATTACGACATATAGCAGATTCTAAATTAATTAAAATAGTTTATTTTGCATTAGTTCAGTCAATATTAAGTTACTGTATAGCTACTTGGGGTGGAGCACGAAAAACCCATTTATTAAAAATAGAGCGAGCACAGAGAGCAATACTAAAAGTAATGACCTTCAAACCTTTTCGATATCCCACTATAGAATTATACGCAGATACTGATGTGCTAACCATTAGACAAATGTTTGTAAGAGATACAGTGTTGTCCCAACACCTAAAAACTCCATTTAGCATGGATTTGATGAAACTTCGTAGAAAAGATGTTTGCCAAAGTATTCCCTTCAAAAGTTATTTTATTAATAAATTTCAAATATACCTCGGTCCTATGCTTTATAATAAAATTAATAAAATTATCGATATAAATCACCTCAATTACTTCAAATGTAAAGAAATTCTAACAGTATGGCTAAAATCATTAAATTACAATGATATTGAAAATCTTCTTATAGCAGTAAAATGACATGAGTACATACACATACAACCGCACACATATACAAACATTACACACACCCATACACATACACACACACATAAACACAATACATACCATTTTATATACATCTCTTTATTAAATAGTATGAAATGTAACATTAAAAATATACACCTTAAACAAGCAATATATATATTTATATACATCTACGATATACTATTATTATAAACAAATTTAAGATTAACCGTACATTAAAATATACAAAGATAAAATTAAAAACTATATTATTTTAGTTTGTTAACTAACGTTATTATATTGTTTGTGTTCGTGGTTATTGTGGTCGCGCTGGGTCACTTGTAAACCTGTTTACGAGCTGCAAATGGATTGATAACAATGCAATTCATTTATATTTTGTACAAGTTCAAATGTAAATCTACCCACGCAATTGCAACATTTTAATTTTTACCTATTTGTCGCTGGAAGAAGGTAGTATCTATGATACAGGCTCGGCCTAGTATAGATGCTACTGGTAAATCATATGTATGATGCGTATTTAACAAAAATGTAATAGTTTATAAGAAGAATAACTGTAACTACTTAAGTTGGTGTCAATAAAATATATTATTATTATTTTTTAAATTTCACTAAAATTCTCATCTCCCCTCTTAAGGAGAGGAGATGGCAACTAACCCCCGGCAGAAGCACAGTCGGCCGGGGTTTAGGGCCCCAGGGAGAGAAACCGGCGTACAATGCGGGCAGAATCTAAGAGCACCGCTTTCTGCATCTTTCCCGGGAGTGAGCCGCCTCGGAATCCCAACCGTCTGAGATGTTGTTCCAGACTGGTTGGGATAAGACCGTTCACCGTTCGTTATTATTATTATTATTATTATTATACTTAGATGATTCGATTGAATAACAGATAACTCAGGTACTGTGGTGACATATGACTTTAAGAAGACGTCACCCTTAAGTCATTTTGAGGTCGTGACCTTTAAATGACTGAACAATGACCGTCCGACTATAAAATGACTGAAAAGTGACGTCGTACTAACTGGCATATCTTTTGCTGACCTATTTTTTTATTTACTTATTTATCCATTAGTACATATATGTGTACATGGCGGACTTAACGCTAAAATCATTCTCTATATATTATATAATCTATGTATCTACATAATTATGTATGTACATTACAATTATTGTTATATTTATGTACAAAATATGGCATGCATGCTTGACTGAAAATGACCAACCTGTCGTCATATGGCAGTAGCGCACTTTCGTATGATAACCTACAAAAATGGTACACAATGAAGTCGGTGCAAAATGATTGATATCGAGTTAAAAATTTAACAAAGAAAATACGAAAAAAATTATATTTATGAAACATAGATAAGAATTATTTGTTACAATTAATCCAAACCATTAAATTATGGTAAAAAATAAAATAAAAAATGGTTGAACACTATTCTAAATTCAAATGGATTGTATTTAAACATAATTTCTATATTAGAAATGTCCATGATTTAATGAAAATTAAATAACTAACGGTATTTAAATGTATATCCTTAGAAGATATTTAATTGTAGGCCTAATCATTATACAGTATTAAAAAAATGAAGAGAAATTTATCAGGATTATAAAAAAAACAGAGTTAAATTACTTTTGCAGGTAATTTACAGGCACAAAAAATATATAGTTTTAATATTAAATTTTAAATATCGAATTCGTAATTTATGTTGTGCCAGAAAACAAGTAAATATGTAATAAAATAAATATTAAATTCAAATATAGAACGGATTAACTTTTCTGAAACTTTATACAATACTGTACAATAACTGGCAGCCAATATATTTCTGAATATATCCCTTTTAAACTAAAATAACTGAAAATTAAAACAATTTGAGACTGTTCTAACAATCTAAAATGTTACTTACACATAATATTCTTAGACGGAAACAATATTATAATCTGTTTTAATAGAAAACAATAAAAATGTAAACAAATGAATAATTGACGTAACCATAAGACGGTCCGCTGACGTCCAATATTAGTCCAAATCCAACATCGATTTGTACTAATATTGGACGTCATTGATTGATTGAACTTTCTCAATTGGTTATTAATTTTATAGACACTGTTTCTATCATCAATTTCTAGTAAAACAGATTATGTTAAATACAAAACCACAAACCCTTTGGTTTTCCCTTGTATTAGCTCAGCTTGAGCGGTCAATGTTTCGGCGAAGAATTGCTCGTTGTATGCGTCTTTTGGACCCCGCCATTTTCTACCACCCGGTAGGACCAACGGACGCTCTTGTGGGGTGGCCGGCCCAAAAACAGGTTTCGGCTTCCCCACACGGGGTGTGGGGCGTTGTTTCAATTGTCTAGACTCTTGTTCTTGCCTCATTTCTTCTATAATTGCCTATTTTCAGTCATTAAACTTGTAACTATCGATTGGTTTAGCCCGTTGGAGTTAAAACAAAAGTGTACTGAGCACTGTGTTGATTTTATTAATTCTAATCTTGACAATTTGCAAGAATGTTTGTATGTTTGTAGAATTTAACCGTATTTTACACTAACTGTGCTTCCAAGGCAATGTTTTTTATTTTTTCTACAGGTTATAGGACAGTTTACCAGGGGGAGACTTTGCACAAAAATCGTTTGCATGGCTGTGTTTCGGTTTGAAGGGTGGCTCAGCGTGATAAATTTATCGAGAATTGAAAAGGGAATGTTATATGACTTCTACAGTAGTTACTTTTTTATGCAACTTAGAATGACAGGCAAGCTAATGGAAAGTGGTAACCGTCGCCTATACACATGAGCAGTATCATGGACATAACAGAATATACTGTTTCGCCCATGATAACCCCTATGCGTTGCCATTCCTGAGGACTCAGATGTTATTCCTATGTACCCTGTAAATTCACTGGCATATTGCACCCTTCAAACCGAAACACAGCCATGCAAACACAACTGCTTCACGGTAGAAACACGAATGGAACAGAGGTGGTTAAGCAAACGATTTTTGTACAGGCTCCCTCTGGTAGACTGGTTTGTTTGGTGTATATGTATCAATAAATAAATAAAAATATTCAGCTATAAGATAAGTTTACGGCCATGTGGTCCCAGCATAGAATAAGCCACCCCTTCCTTTCCCGTGGGTGTCGTAAGAGGCGACTAAGGGAGAGCGAGGGATGGACAGCAACGTTCCTCTTAAAACATCTCTAAAGTCTAACTGCAGTTGCCAATCCGACTGCCAAGCGTGGCAGCTACTGGCAAAACCTTCCCAAGGGGGAGGCTTATGTTCAGCAGTGGACAGTCAAAGGCTGGTATGATGACAAAAAGATAAGTTTTAACAAATGACACTTTAAAATTGAAGTCACTGTCAATTGCATATATTTTATTTTTTATTTTCAATACATCAAAATTGTACGAAAGAACAAAGCTGGAACAGATTGCTAGATATTTATTAAAAGATAAAAAAATTATAACAAATCAAATTTTAACTATAACGTAAGACTTACTTTCTTTTGCTTCTCAATTCTCCTCTGTTCTTCTAACATCTCCGCTTCCTCCGCTCTCAGTTTCTCCATCTCTTCCTGGGTGAGAGATGGTTGTTTCATCTCCGGTATTACATTCTCTTTCTCTTCTACAATCATGTTCTGTTCTGGAGTGTTCTCTTCCACTCCATTATCTGTTACTTCTTGTACAATTGTTTCAATATGATCATTAGCTATGGATGCAAAATATTTAAATCCTTACTAATATGTGTCATTGAGGGGAAGGGATTGTTAGTAATGAAGACTACCAGTCCCATTGCTAGGTTTTTTATGGTGATTGATGGAATGGTAACCCCGCCCGCTATCGGTATACAATGGCGGGACACCAGTGAGAGATGATTGGTTAGGATGAAGCAGGTCAGTTAGCCCATCGTGACGTATTCAACAAGAATTGTTCACCATGGTTTCCAAGGGGAAACACGTGGAGGTGGATCTGATGAGGTGTATTGCTAGCAATGGGTTTAGACCCCATTACTAACAATCCCTTTCCCCCCATTGCTAGGTTCATACCCTATCAAGTCGACGTCCATGTGGTTTCCCTGTAAACAGTCGTGGTGAATCCCAAGTGTATTCGTCACGATGGGCTAACTGACCTGCCTTTCGTTCTCACCTATCATCCCCCACTGGTGCCCCGCCAGCGTATACCGATAGCGCAGGCGGGGTTACCATTTCTGATTATTATCATTTATTACTTTTACTATTACAGTCAGAAGTAACCTACTTCAGCATGCTCCCTTAATTCACGCAGTACGGTTATTAAACAATATTGTGAACATCATTGATATATTTAGTAGCAGCCTGCCAAAGATCATCTCGCCATCGACAGGGAGTTCACCCTCATACCTTACAGCCTAAATGGTCGCGTACAACGTGGTTTCAGAGATGCTTTCTCCCACGAACACTCAGGTTATGGAATGAGCTCCCTGCCGAGGTTTTCCCGAGAGACTACAGCATGGGGTTCTTCAAAAGGGGGTAAAGAGGTTTCTTCAGGGTCGGCAACGCGCGCGTAATACCTCTGGTATTGCAGGCGTTCATAGGCTACGGTAACCGCTTACCATCAGGTGGGCCGTATGCTTGTTTGCCACCTCAGTGGTATAAAAAAAAAAAGAAAGATATTGGAAGCGGCTCACAAATATCTGGAGTCGGGTTAAATATGAGTTTTTTTTATACAACTTAGAATGGCAAACAAGCTGATGGCCTACCTGATGGAAAGTGGTTACCGTCGCCTATAGACATGAGCAGTACCATGGTTATAACAGAGTATACTGTTTCGCCCATGATACCCCCCATGCGTTGCCATTCCTGAGGACTCAGGTGTTATTCCTCTGTACCCAGTAAATTCACGCCATATTCCACCCTTCAAACCGAAACACAGCCATGCAAACACAGTTGCTTCACGGTTGAAACACGAATGGAACAGAGGTACCCAAGCAATCGACTTTTGTACAAAGTCTCCCTCTGGTACATCTATTATAATTTTGTATGTCAGCGCACTAGGTTTTTAACATTGATTTGGTTTTTGCTGTCTGGAATGTTGTAATTATTTTTAATGAATAAATAAATAAATACTCAATACATACCTTCATTTTGTTCCTTAGATTCAGTTTGAGTTTCAGATATTAAATTCTCGATCAATTGTTGCTTTGCAACTGATTCCTGCAACAGAGATATATAATAATGTGCCTGAAGATACCTTATTTAGAAGTGAAACATCTACCGCAAACTGTGCGTGGACGAAATGGCAATCGGAGATTGATGACTAATACGGAAGGTTTTAGAACTAACCGTAACCGTCGATTATATAGATGCTCATGATACCCCCCATGCGTTGCCATTCCTGAGGACTCAGGTGTTATTCCTTTGTACCCTGTAAATTCACGCCATATCCCACGCTTCAAACCGAAACACAACCATGCAAACATAACTGCTTCGCGGTAGAAACATGAGTGAGACAGAAATACCCAAGCAGACAATTTTTTATCCTAAATCTCTGTTTGGTAAATGTGATGAATACCTGAACAGTAATCTGACTCAGCTGTCGAGTGACCAACTCCAGGGTCTGCTGGATGACCCCTGGCAATTGAGCCAACGCGGCCAGTTGAGCTCTCATCTGGGCCAACTGCTGCTCCAAAGTTGCATTGGGATCTAAGACAACGAATAAGACATATGATTTTAGATCTTCCCCAAAAGGCCTAACCCATTACTGGGAGGGGGAGCGGGGGAGGAGATTGCTAGTAAATATACTATTTCAGATAAAAAAATAATTTTGCAAATCGATTTATTACTGACGGAGTTATGAGGTAACAAACATGGAAAAATACAACCGAATTAGGAGCTTCCTTCTTTTGATGCCCGTTAAAAAGAAGAAGAAAGATAGAAGGAGAGCGTGTAGTGGCCCTAACTGCAGGAAATGAAGGCAGAATGCAGAAAAATGCAAGCAATAATAATCAGATCAGAATGACACATTTTTCTAATACTTGTTTTAAATGTAACAAATCCGGTCGTATAATTAAGTTTTGTAGAAATTCTTTACACTGTGAACTATGTAAAAAAAAAACAAAAAGAGAAAAAAATATATAATATACGATTATTGAAAGTTCGAAGAATCGCTTGAAAGGTCGCTAATTTGGTCGTCTAAGGTACCTATTTAAAAAAAGGCAAATTTCTGTATCCAAAAACAAGTCTTTGTTTTGGGTTTCTCCTAGTCATTTATTTTGTCAGTGGCTGTCAGTTTTGTCTGTAAAATGTTTTAGCGGTCAGCGAGAAAATCGGTGAAAGAGGCCGCAACAATCACCAGCGTCAATTGTTAACTGTCCACTGCTGAGCATAAGTCTCCCCATAGGGGGTTTTGCCAGTAGTTGCCACGCTTGACTGGCAGCCGCAGGTAGGATTTAGAGATGTTTTAAGAGGGACGTTGCGGTCCATTCTTCGATCAGTAAGTTCCCTTAGTTACCTCTCACAGGAAAGCAAGTGGTGGCCCATTCTGTATCGGGACTACACAGCAATATACGATAGTACAGACTTTTTTCGTGCAATATGTTTTTGTAAAACAAAATTGAACAGGTACTTACCAACCATACTTTGAACGTTGGTAATCAATTGATTAGCTAATTGGCTCTCCATATTTTCTGTTACTTTCTGTGTCTCTTCTACCGCGGGTTCTGATGGTGTATCTGTTTCTTCTTTAATATCTTCTGTTTTTGAATCTTCAAAAGCTATTTCTGGTTGCACGGTTTCTTCGGTTTCGAGTTTTGGTGGTGGTAAAGGTATACCTAGAGATGAAAGGTAAATTAAGTAGATTTTTACCAGGAGATTTTGTACAGACGTCGTCTGCTTGGATACATTTCTGTTCCACTTGTGTTTCTGCCATATAGCAGCTGTACTCGTTGTGTTTTGGTTCGAATTTTGGGATATGGCAGTGAATATCAACCTTATTTCTCAGGACTGGGTTACCATTCCTATATATAATCGTCGCCTATTATCCACTCTGTTCATGTCTATAGGCGACAGTTACCACTCCCCATCAGCTGGGTTATCAGTTGTATAAAAAATAATTAGGTAGTTGCTAAGTACAGAATTTTATAATAGCTACCATATTAGACTTACTATAAAGAGATTGTAAAAAATTCGACTTCATGACTATTTCTGTCTCACGTATACCTGCAGCCATGCAGCGTGATCCGGCGTGAAGGACGCGATATGGCGGTGACTTTACTATGTACTATAACTCGAGATGTGCACGGTATGGTAGGGGCACAGGCGCGGTGTGTGGTGCCTCTGGTGTTTTTTTTTGATGGGTGAAAATGAAATGGTAACCCCACCTGCGCTAACGGGATACGCTGGCGGATCACCAGTGAAGGATAATAGATGAGAATGAAAACAGGCCAGTTAGCCTATCATGATGAATTCATCAGTAATTAACCATAATTCAGGGGGAACCAAGGAGATCTACCTGGTTGGGTATTGCCTCTGATGTTGGCAGTGCTCATGGGCTATATAGTTGCTTACCATGTTACCACTGTCTGTCAGTATACACTAGTTGAGTACCATGCCAGTAAAGGATGATAGGTGAGAATGAAGTCAAATCATTTGTACCTCGTCATGACGAATTCATCAAGCATTATCAAGACGGATTCCAGAGAGAACCGCGTGAAAATAGACCTGAGCTATATACAGTATATTGTTCATAATGACGCCACTAGTCCTCTTTACTTCTTCCTCTATATGTATTCTTGTTTTTTGCTATACATAAATAAAAATTAATACCTACCAGTTTCTTCTAGATCTGGAACTTCGCTCTCTGGTAGGGGATCTACGGCTTCCAGAAACTCTGGCACCTCTTCAGGCACTAATATAGGTTCTTCTGGCTCGATAGGTGGGGGGCTAGGCTCGTTTAGAGCTCTCTCCTCCCAAGGTAGTGGTCCAGTGTCAAAGTCCTGAAGAAAATAATGGTGCTTGATGGTGTGACGATGAAGTGGAGTTATTTATACGTTTATATGTCATTTATGTGCTATATTTACATCACAATTGTAATGAATGTTGTTTATTCATCAACATAATGTGATCGCTTCGGCGCCATTTTGAAAATGGGCGGGAAAATGTGCAAGATGGCCGCTAAATGTCATGTTATAACATGATGATTTTCTTTTCTTTTTAAACGACTTTGGAATGGCGTTACTTAATTTCTTTGTATTTTTTGTGCGTATATTATACGATATGTTTCTTATATGTATGTTGTGGTCAGATTTTAATACATAAGTGATTTTTTTTCTTTGTTAACTATATATTCCCGTGTTGGACTTAATTTTTAAATAATAAAATTTTATCTTAATTGAATTCTTTATTTTTGAATTACTAGACAGATTTGAAAAATCCTTTTTACATTTGTTAGTTAATTTTTTGAGGATGGCTATAGGTTATTCGACATCACGGTTAGACAGGTGAAACCGTGGGATGGAATTAGTTATTTATAGATGTATTTCTGTTGATATTTAGTATATATATAGAAATATGTCCGCAATACATTTTGGTATTGTCGTTGAAGTTTTTTTTAACCGACTTCAAAATAGGAGGTTCTCAATTTTGTACGCTTGTATTTTATCGTTTGTATATTTGTTACTACAAAACTACTGCATTATGAAACAATTTGGATTTTTTTTTTAATCTAAAAACATACACATCCAGATTGTTCTCTTAGAAATTTTATCAAAATCGGTTCACTAGTTTAGTTTTTAAATCAAAATGACTACGTAGTTTTACTAAGATCTAAATCGATTTTTTCGTAAAAGAAAATCTACTTTTTAAAATCTCAAAATGTAATAATTTTGTCAAATTCACTCGAACGAGAAGTCATTTTAGTGAATAAATGACAGTATATACACATTAAACCTTTATGATTTACGAAAGAATGATAAAAAAAAAAACAATAAAATGTCAACGGATTCGTGAGTTAAAAATGAGTTGGACGAATCATGTATTTGATTTTTAATAAATAAATTTATTACTAAAAGTTTAAACACCAAACCAAATCTAATATGTCATACTCTAAATTTGAATTGAAAAATTTAGAGAATGACATTTCAGAAGGTCTACCATGAAATGTTCTCCGAAATTCCTGGGCCGTACGAAACACAAATGTGATGTTAAAATTACATAGTACCATACCGTTTAAAAATATTCAAAATGTTGTAATATCGTTCCTTTGTAAAATTCTAGTAGGATATATGAAGAACGAAATGTTAAGCTCCATTTACTGGATCGATTTCGGTATGAATAAAAACACGAAATTGATTCCGAAAATTCGAAATTTCATGGTAGACCCCCAGAGTTCGGGATATTCCAAAGATAAAATATTAAGTAACATAGATTAAGAACAGTAGCTGCGGTTTCTGTATTTCTATAGACGGTAGTGACCAGACTGATTCTAAAATGTCAAACTAAAAAGATTTTTTTTTATATTTAATGTCTTTTTTTTATTTGCTCCGAAGTAGTACTAGAATATGACAGTTTAGAAATTTATTTTTTGATAGATCCTTAAAAGGAGTCGGAAATCAATATTGTAAGAATTTGTACGTACCATTATTTAAAATACAAAAAAAAAAAATTAAAAAACATCCCTCGAACTATTCAATTATTAAAATACGAAATTTCGTACTTAATATTATTAATTAAACCAATAAATTATCCTTTTTTCTTCAAATTGGAAAATATGTAAGTCTTTTTCGAGATCATTGCGCGGACATTTGTAATCTGGGAACTGATGACCCAGACTATTATTTTATTTATTTATATTTCTATATTACTTTCAGACTTTCGTGCACTTGTGACAAAATATTCATAACTTGCATAGTCTGTATGAAAGAAGTGCGTCAGCCAACTATTGGCTGACATTGGCTGAGCCGAGTTGCTGGCCAATAGTTGGCTGAGTATTTTTTTAACGTTTATGACACCTTATATTCCATCTAACTATACAAGTTGAAATAGAAATCATTAGCGTCCTTTTTACCATATTTTCATTAAAAAAAAAACACGAGTCAAAAGACTGCAATAAAGTTTGAGCCTCCGGTGCTTTTTTTAATGGGTGATAATGGAATGGTAACCCCGGCTACGCTATCGGTATACACCGGCGGGTCACCAGTGACAGATGACAGATGAGGATGAAAACAGGTCAGTTAGCCTATCCTGACAAATTCAACTAGAATTAACCACGATGGTTTCTAATACAGTAACATCTTTACTCATATAATGACATTTAATAATTTAATTCTATTTTAATGTTTATCAAACACAAGGCACGCTGTGGTCGCCTATAAATGTAAGAACAGTAACCAGTGTACTGTATTAAAATGTTCTTATGTTGGTAATCCTATAAATAAATAAATTACTCTGTATTTTTTGTTTTTTTTTTTTTTTTGAGAGTTTCAAAATAAAACGCTTTAACATTATTTTTATTTTAATTGCGAACAATTTTATTTTAAAAGCTATTAGTGTATAGTTAAAAATAATTTATCGTAGCGTATTCACATCAAGTACATAATGTATTGTATTAGTTTTATTCCGTTATAGGTGCATTTACCTCTCTTTTGTAATCGGGAGCAACTTTAGGCTTAGGTTGTTTCACTATTTTCACTTTATACGGTTCCTGTAATAGAAAAAAATACTTAGTAATACAAAATTAAACAGGTAGATAGATAGATAGATAAACACTTTATTTGAGCCATTTATGACACACGTAAATTAATAAATAAATTTATACAATCTGATTATTTATAATTTTTCAAATATAAAACAAAAGATGAATATTGGAGATGTGTTTTCACCAAGTGTGTCGCAGTGACCCAAAAAGGCTACAGCTCAGTGATACTTTTGCTTAAAAGCAAAGCACGCGATTTATCTACAAAAACAAAAGCAAAGAAACTAAGCCATACAGCCCGATCTTCTATGAAATTACTTAATTATACTGTATTTCACAGAGTAAGTAATAACTACGTGTGTGCTTAGATAGATACTAGATAATTTCTCTTCATTAAAAAAAGCAACACTTTTTTCTGCAAACAAATATATCGACGGCACTAAAGCATACTGCTATTATAATTAAATAAATTAAGCAAACTGTAATAGCAAAAAAAGCTAAATAAATACAAATAAAAACAAATACCAGATTTTATGATCACCGATCAGAACTACACTGTTTGACAGATAAAAAATTACTGCAAGGCATTTTTCTGCAATACTGTGGTCTGCCAACTATCATATGGTTGGTACCTTGAAATCAAGCCAATGTCTACTTAAAATCTATTTTATTAAAGCATAATCGATATAATTGACATCTCAATGTCAAAAAATAAGGAAGTACAGATACATGAAAAATTACAACATGATTTGGCGCCAAATTGAATTTTGGCAACAGTTGACTATTCATTACTCTGTGGAATCGTAAAACGGTAGCATTCAATGTTATAATTATTAAATCAGATAAATATTTAGACTATAAAACTAACAGGTTCTTTTTTCAGGTTTTAAGTTCAATTAACAATACCACTCCCTTAATATGAATTATTATATTTTATTATTTGACTAACCATTTCTCATTACACTGGTCGTTTGGTCTTTACCTTCGAAATTTAAAAAAATCTACAGACTTTTTTAAACTAAAATCATAGATAAAGAACTTCAGTCATACCAACCTCAACAACTGGTTCCTCTTGTTCCACATACGCGTAATACCCAAATTTGGCTTTCGGCACTGGCCTCTTTGGTTTCTGCAGGAACGTCGTCCACTTCCTTTCTTCTTTCTTTTTCTCCTCTTTAGTCTTAATCAACTCCTCGTTCAGTGCCTTCAAGACTTCAGAATTGTGCAGCGATTCCACGATAGGCTTGATTTTTTTGAAGTCGACGCTGGAATCATCCTCTATTGTTCGGTGCATGTGTGAGGATATCACTCGTTTCAGGCTATTTTCAACCATTTTGTGGGAATAAAGAAGGTCCATTATTATTTGTAGAGTCTGTTTATAAGTATTTTAGTTTATTAAACTGTAATGCTGATGTAGAAAGAAGTGAATGGTGTTATTTAAATGGCGTTAGGAGGGAGATATTAAGATTTGACAATTTCAATTTAAGCCAAAAATTACAGTTCTTCATGTACGATTTCCATAGATAATCTGATATTAACCGTGTGATCTCCGGATTAGAATGGGTCACCTCTTTCTTTTCCGTGGGTGTCGCTTACGACACTTAAGGGACTTACCCCTCTTAAGGGGACTAAGGGAGGGCGAAGAATAGGCTGCAGCGTCCTTCTTAAACATCTCTAAAGCCATAACTGCGGTTTCCAATCCGCCTGCCAAGCGTGTCAGGGGGAGGCTTATGTTCAGCAGTGGACACTTAAAGGCTGATATGAAGATGATGATGGTAATCGAGGTCAGTATGTAAAGAAGAGCATAGAACTAGAATAAATGTAAAATACGTGATTCTTGTTGGATAACAAAATGGTTGAAAACGTTACTACGACCTAAGATGTATGTAATGATTTAATGTAATTAAATGTACATGTCTCTTTTTCACTTTTTTTTTCCACGATATGAAAGAATTATTATTAATTGATACATTATTCATTTATTTACTATAGATATATTATCTTTTATTTCACTTACCCCATTACGTGGGCCTCTCTCAGCATTTCGGATTCACCGGAAATTAATTCTGCTATCTTCTCCTCTGTCATACCGGGTTTGCCTAATTCTTCTAGAAGAAAGTATATATATTTTTTTGTAAATAAAAGTAATGGTTCTATGGGTTTATCAAAAAAGGTCAAATTATTATAACTCACTGGCAACTTCTTCATCCACGGTCGCTTCCTCTAAACCATCCACAATTCCTTGAACGGTACCCAAGATTTCACCAGTAGGTGTCATGTACAATCTAGAAGGTTCTGGAGGCTTCTGTTCCTATAATACAAAAACAGTTTTTTATACAATATAGAATGGCAAGTAAGCTGATAGCCTTCCTGATGGAAAATAGAAACCGTCACCTATAAATATGAACAGCAATATCGCTGTGACACTTATTGTATCTTCATGGGTTGCCATTCCTGAAGAGTAAGATGTTATGCCTCCGTATCCTGTAATTTCACTGCCATATCCCACCCTTTAAACCGAAATACAATCATGCAAGCATAAGTACTTGTCAACAGAAACACGAGGGTTAGAGGTTAACTTTTCTTTAAAATTACTCACTTCCTTATCATTCTCTTGTCACTATAAGGTCTCAATACTAAAGTGATGTTTAACTGTATTAAATTAATTAACCTAATATTGAGTGGGATTTCTTAATATAAAAATTTGAACTGAGCACAATTTTCTTACCTCAACCATTTCAAAGTGTTTATGCTTAACAATTTCTTCTGGATTAAAAACGACAGGTCTGTAACCAAGCAATGGATCCTTCTTTTCCTCTAACATCGTAGTTTCTTCATTTTCAATCTTCTCTACTCTTGCTATAGTTTCGGATATGCTTTCATCTTTAAAGTTTAGAACAGATTCTAGATTATGACTGTTTATTTTTTCTGCATTTTGTATATTAGTTTCACTAGCTGCAAAGTTTTCTTTACTTTCTAATACTTTTTCTGTTATTGTCGAACTTTCTTTAATATCTTTGTCTGTTACTTTATCACTAGCTTCAATTAATTGGTTAGTATCTAAAAATTTATTTTCATCTTTTATCATATCTGATTTTAATTTCTCATCTACATCTGTAATATCAACTTTAGCCGCCTTAGACAGTTCATCGATACTTTCCACATTATCAGTAACCTGTTTATCGATTTTAGACCATTCTGTCTCTGCTTTATAATCGATTTTAACTTCTTCAGCTTTAGACACTTGTTGCATTTCAACAGTGGTTTCTTCTTTTGAGAAACTCTCTGTTTTTGCAGTATTATACTCAATTTTTGATTTTACTTCAACATCGATATCCGTGTTAGTATCCATACCAACTTGTTCTTTATATTCCTCTATGCTTTTAATTGTTTCATCAATAGCCGACGCTAAAAGAGACGACTTTCTTCCGATCTCCAAGATTTCTTCCTGTGTATAATATTATTTAGTTAATTTAATGACATTAAAAAAAAATAAGGTTTCAAATCTTTACTACATGTGTATGAGACTTCTCTGAATAATATGAAATTGGTTGAAGGCATATATAATACATACACTATATAACGGAATACATACATGTACACTACATTACATAGTGTATGATAATGCTGCCAGCTTTTGTTGACAAATTGCCAAATGTCGTAAACAGTATTAGTTGAAGAATAAAATAATAAATAAAGTCTGAAAATTGTCAAAATATTGTACATCGCTCTACCCGCTGACATTGATGCTCCTTTCCATTTTGGGTGTTGCTGGAGGAGAACTCTTTTAGAGTTAACCTCGCCTTTGTACATTTACTTACCTCTGTCATATTTTTATGTACCATCAATGTGCACAATAAAGTATAAATAAATAAAAATAAATAAATATCCACACAGTGCGGTGAATTTAAATGTCATTTTATACTCTGACGTTATAAAATGTCTTCCGATACTGTTATACCGATATCGATGCCCACAGCTACTTTCTACCATCGTACGGCTCGCCATCGACAGGGAGTTCATCCTCATGTCCTACAGCCTCAATGGTCGCGTACTGCGCGGCATCAGAGATGTTTCCTCCCACGAACACTCAGGTTGTGGAATGAGCGCCCTGCCGAGGTTTTCCCAAGACACTACAGCATGGGGTTCTTCAAAAGGAGGGTAAAAAGGTTTCTTCAGGGTCGGCAACGCGCGCGTAATACCTCTGGTATTGCAGGTGTTCATAGGCTACGGTAACCACTTACCATCCAGGTGGGCCGTATGCTTGTTTGCCATCTCAGTGGTTAAAAAAAAAAAATCTTTACACAATAAAGATTTTCTATTATATTTACATAATGATCTATGAACAAAAACTACATTAGTTCATAATTGTAATTTTTTTTATGCAACTTAGAATGGCGAACAAGCTGACGGCCTACCTGATGGAAAGTGGTAACCGTCGCCTATAGACATGAGCAGTACCATAGACATAACAGAGTATACTGTTTCGCCCATGACACCTCCATGCGTTGCCATTCCTGAGGATTTAGGTGTTATTCCTCTGTGCCCTGTAAATTAACTGCCATATCCCACCCTTCGAACCAAAATACAGCCATGCACTTCTGCTTTAGCGTAGAAACACGAATGGGACACTGGGCGCAAACAAACGATTTTTGTACATACAAAGTCTCCTTCCGGTAACATTATAATATAAATAATAAAGTATGTAGGTAATACATAATATTATAAGTATTGCATACGTTAGTTCTATTTTTAAAGAAATCAAATGATAACAGACGAATTTTTTTTTTCTAAGATAAAGGAACTAAAAGTACTTTTTAGTTAAGCAACGATGCAGAAATTTTGTCAAGTTGAAATAATTGCAAAACTAGGAAAATATTCATAAAAAATACATACCCGCCTGTAATATTTTCCATCAGCGCCACCCCGTAACCCTGGTTTTGTATAAACAGGAAAAGAAACTTTCTCCTCGGGGGGAGTTGGTAATGGAGGATCGTAAAGTATGGGAGATTCTAAATTCGTCTCAATATGGGGCACTAACTTTTTCTTAACTATATTTGGATCTTCGTGAAAATCTTCTTTTTTCACAATATTCGGATCCTCGTGCTCGACTATTAGGGTTCCTTTAGTTTTAGGAAGCGGTATTTGCAATTTGAATACGTATTCGTCAGTTAAAGGTGTTGGTGGAACAGTTGACGGGGTGGGTGTATCTATATTGTTATTCTCATCGCTTTGCACAGACGATTGCCTATCCAAAATAACCTGTTGGGCTAAATCAGTGCGCAATGTGAGATTGTGTGATGACGATTTTGATGTCGATGATTCTGAAGACTTTGCCACGAAAGTAGATTCTTGGATTACTTCTGATTTATGACTCTCGGCTTTCTCGTGTACAAATTCACATGAACTAGATTCAGATATGTCGACAAATTTGCTTAAAGATACTGCCATTTGCTGTTTGGACAGGTCAAGTGATTGCTCGATTTGTACGATTTTAGTCTGAGATTCTTGTCTAATTTCAGGAGGATTGTCCACTTCTATGACTTGTTCTTTTACGATTTTCAACTCAGTAGATTCAACTTGTGGTTCGATCGGTTTAATGACATTCTCTACTTTTACAGCGGCGGATACTTCTAAATCTAATGATTCTTCTTTCTTTTCTGCAATTATTTCTTCTTCAGCTAATTGAATGTGATTTTCTACTTCTTCATTAATTACAACAGACGATGAATCATTAATTATTTCTTCGATTTCAATGGCCTCTTTTTTAGATGCTTCAACATTGACTTCTAATTGTTTAGCAACCGACTTGGTTATGCACTCTTCTTTAACCGACATCTGCTCACTTTTAATATTGATACTTTCAATTTCTTTTATATTTTTAATTGCAGATTCCGTTGCAATTTGGTGATGTGATTTCTTTTCCACGACTTCTTGAACGTCTTTAATAACTTCTTCAGCTACTTGAACTTTTGTTTTTTCTGTTGTAGCAGCAAATGAAGAAACGTGAGTATCTTCTACTGCAGATTTAGCTACTTCTTTTATAAGTTGCTCATGCTTCAATGCCACATTTTCTGTACTCACAGCTTCATTACATTCAATAGCTATGTTAACTTCATCGGCACTTTGCACTGATGCAGTTTCAGAAAATTCTGCTAATTGCTCTTCGAAAATTGCATCTTTATTTGTGAAAACATGAGCTTCGACTATCGCGACATACATCTGTTTTTCTTTCGATTGCGTAGTGGTTATTTGTTTAGCTTCATGCGTTTCAACCTTTTTTTGTGTTGTAGAATGTGACATGCTACTAACAGATTTATTAGACGTTTTGATTTCAGTTACTGCTTGTGATGAACTGACATTATCTTTTTTCGCTAACCATTCTAGTGGATCGCTCTCATTCATTACTTCTTCTTCAATCTGACTGCGGCTCCTAGACCTTCTGTTACGACGTTCTATAACTTCTGATTCCTCTATTCCAGTTTTGTTCTGGAATTCTGATATCACGGCATCCATTTTAACAGTTAGTTCTTCTGATTTCTTTTCGCTGAGTTGCGCCATTTTAGACCCCGATAAATTACGCTTATGACCCTTTTCTTCTTCTACTACTAAGTTCTGTTGAACATCTTCAATTTTCTCTTGTGTAACATTTTTCTGTTCTTCAATTCTTTTCTTCTCCACTTCTTTTGCGAATACTTTTGTAGTTTTGTTTTCCTCCAGCTTACTTACATTTATTTCTTTTGCATCTTTAACTGCTGACGCTTCAACTCTTTTGTTTTCGTCAGCTTTTACAATTGTTTTGATATCTGTTTTATCTGAAATTCTTATATCTTTTTTAGTTTCTTTTTGTTCCGATTCTGTTTTTACTTGTTTCTCATTTTTCGTCACATGAGTAGTAACTTTTTCTTGACTTTCATCCAAATTTGTAAATACAGGCTCACTTAGAATAAATCTAGATAGTGCTACCATAACATCAGTTAAATGAATAAAAAATGTTTTTAATAACAAATTGTAATGGTAATTTGAATGTATAGAGCCCCTTATATTTGGAATGGTCTGTAAACCGATCGTATAAGCTCTTTGCTCTGCTAATAATTTAGAACAAATTCTTTCATCACGTATTTTAGATTCGTTGGTTTTCTGGGATGTTTCAAAAGTCTCAGATTCTTGGCGATAAGATTTCTGAGCTTCTTGTAGGGATTTTTTTCTCTGGCTATCTTTTCTTTCCAAAACTTCTTTAGTATCTACTTCTGTATCAAATATCATTGATTTTCTTCTAACGCTTCCTGATTCAATAGTTTCTTCTATTTCTTGCTTAGCAGATAATCGCCTCTCATTTATCGAATTCTCTACAATCTCATTAGAATCGAATTTTTCAACTATTTTGGCTACTTTGATATCAGTTTTATCACTTTTAACAATTTCATCACTAGCTTCTTTGGTAACCACAGTTGGTTCTTTTGCTGATACTGCAGTCATAGATTCTGAACTTAATTGAGCTGTATCAGAAGTAGATTCCTTCGTAATACCTTTAACAGATTGTTTATGAGATTCGGTATTAATCTTTTCATTTGTTAATTCACATTCTTCAACAGTTTTAGTCTCTACAATTTCCGCATCCTGTTTGATTATAGTGTGATCTAAGAGTTCCACGTCTATTTCTTTTTTTATTTCTTCTGCAACAGTCATTGCTTTTTCTATACTTTCATTGACAATGTTCGTTGCAGTCATTTCAATTTTATCAATGTCAATTTCCTGTTTCATTTTCTTTGTAAATTCAATTTCTTCTTTTGTCATCAGTTCAGATTTAAACTCTTCAATTGTTGTCTTGCTAATTTGTTCTACATTTTTGGTTAATATAGAATTACTTTCAACAGTTTTTCTTTCTGTAGACTCTTTTAACCTGTTGTCTATTATTTCTTTTTCTTTTTTGATTTTCTCTTGTTTCTTCTTCCAGTCTGGATCGTATTGTTCAGAAATAGGCAATTTAAATTTAGTTTCGACGACTTCTTCGTCTTCACCATGTTTTCCGAACTCATCCCTGTAGTTAGGATTTAATATTATTGGGTCTTCTAAATCTGGGATGTCACCTAAGGGTTCCGTGGAAAAAGGACGGTAAGGTTTAGTAGATAAAGCGAAAGGGGATGCAGTTAAGGACCTGGATTCAGACGGTTTCGGGGTTCCCAACAAAATTTGACTGGGATCGTTAAATTCGGTAATATTGTTAGGGTTTTGTGGATCATCATAAAAATTGGAATTGATCTGATTTAAATCTTGTTTCTCGTAGTATTCAGGGTTGATAGGGTCCAAGAATTGCTGTATTTGGAATACCTCAGTCGGTTGAGATGGTCGGTCGAAATCTTCCCGGTCTATCTGCTCGTATATTGGCTCGTATTCGTCCAGCACTGGATCGTACAGGCCGCTGGAATAGACGAAAATAAAATTTTAATATTTGTCTCATTTGTCATACTCGAGAACGTAATGTACGTCCACTAGTATGACTCTTGCGAAAGACTACTGATAAATTTTAATTTAGCTCGTCCGTCATACTCGTGAACGCGGCATACGTTTACGAATATGACTTGTAAGACTGACCGCGGAAAAAAATAAAAAAATTGTTAAATCTAGGCCATCCGTCGTCATAATGCACGACAAAAATATGTTGTTGCTCAACACCATACGTCGGGCCATAATTCGCAACGCCATCTAGTTCGAAATTAAGAAAACCAACTGATAGACATACCTAAAAATATTTCTCTTATTAATTAATATATAGTAAACACTCAGACCGTATTGCCGTGTGGTCCCGGCATCGAATAAACCACCCCTTTCTTTCCCGTGGGTGTCGTAAATCGCCTCGATTAAGGAAGGACGAGGGTTGGGCATCAGCGTCCCTCTTAAGACATTTCCAAAGCCCAACTGCGGTTGCCAATCCGCCTACCAAGCGTGGCAACTACTGGCAAAACCCCCCAAGGGTAAGGCTTATGTCCAGCAGTGGACAATTAAAGGCTGATATGATGAAACAGACCAATACATATAAAACTCACTAATATTTATTTATGTCTGTATGTACCTCGCACATCCTTGCTTTCGAACTCGCGACCATCGGAAGGTGAAACGGTGTGTTAAATTGGTATACCATCAAATCCATTGTTTATTCATCCAAAATCCTAAACATCTTAAAAAATATTTTTTTCTATTTAAAAAAGAAAAAAAAATGGAGATTTTATTATTGTTTGTAAAAGAATAAGTTTAAAATTGCTTTAGTTAAGTTTAATTTGATATTATTTAAATACATTATTTTATATATATTATTACTGAGACGAACTGAATCTTCAAGAATTCAGGTCTTCTCTTATTTTAAAATAATCCAGTATAAAAATCATGAAATCCAGACGAATATTATTATGTTAGTATCAAAAAAAAAATAAAAAAAAAAATATTCTTCATCTATACTTTTTGGTAGCTAGCCGACAATCTAAGCACTACATATAACTGTTATTTTTAGATAAATCGATATTGCAAATATACTGGCAGCATAATTACCATATCCAAGCGTAAAACATAGCCGCGTTTACTATAAATGGATCTAATATCTTAATACATACGATACTATTATAATCATTCCAGTAAAATCTTGAAATAACTCGAGCAAGAATTGACACTTCACTTATATTTTCACTGCTCATTCTGCCTTAATTACAACCTTGCTAAATTGTACTAAATTTCCTTGATTACAACACTTCATAAAAAAAAAAAAAAACACTTTTATTTTTTACGAGTATAATGCAGATTTTCCCGCCTTTTATTTGGCGGGAATTATTTTGTGTCACTTTAATATTAATCTATCTATAATCTATGCCTGTGAACTGTTCTAATTACGTCACTATTTATTTTTCATATTTTTTTAAATGTTTCTGCTATAAGTAAACTCTATATTGCCGCGGTTCAGAGCAAATTAATTCTGATGTTTATTTTTGGCTATAATAACCTAGTGGAGATTTTGTCACGATGCCATTATCGTGCACTTAACTACATATATAAAACTGTTGTAAGGTCATTACTACCTTTAACCCTTAAATACTGGGGGGAAAAGGATTGTTAGTAATGGAGTTCGACAGCCCCATTGCTAGCAATATGCCTTATTAGGTCGACCTCCACGTGGTTCCTGGAAATCATCATGAACAATTCTTGTTAAATTCGTCACGATGGACTAACTGACCTGCTTCATCCTCACCTATCATCCTTCACTGGTGCCCCGCCGGTGTATACCGATAGCGAGGGTGGGGCTACCATTCCATTATCATCCATTAAAAAAAAACCCTTAAATACTTGAAGTTTCAAATTTGATACCAGGATTAACATTGTTTCATTGTTAAATAAATTTAAATGTTTTAATTACCGTAATGCCTAAAGTATCAAAAATAATACAAAATGTTTTTTTTTTCAAAACAAATATATAAAAATATCGTTTGGATTCTTTTTACTATTTTCCCCCATTAGTAAACACAGTAAAGGGTACACTTATATATTTTTTAATTTGATTTAAAAAATAAAGCTTTTAAGGATATAAGTATATATATATATATATATATCTGATATTAACAAATATACCTGATATACAATTCTACTCTTGAGAACTAAGCTGAGGGCCTACCATGAAATGTTTTTTGAAATTTCAGAGCCAAACGAAACAGAAATTTGATGTTAAAATTACATACGAGTAATACATGCCGTTTGGAAATATTAAAAATGTTAAAACATTGTTCCTTTGGACTTTTACGATAGGATGTATGACGAACGAAATGTTAAACTCCATTTATTGGTCCGATTTTGGTATAAACAAAAACACGAAATTGAGTCTGAAATTTCGGAATTTCATTTCATAGTAGATCCGCTGTTAGCTTCGTTCCCTGTAATTTCAAAGCCACGAAACACAGGGATTAGAGTACAGATGTTTATTTTTATTTTCAAATAATCGAATTTTTTAAGTCTTCTCAAGTTGCATGTAGGTATATTTGAGGTCGTATATCTTATGTCACTGTTTGTATATATTACTTATGTATATATCGAAAAAAGCATGTATTTAAAATAAATTTGTACCATTTATCATGTAACCACAATACAAGCTTGATCAATTTGCAACTAGATGGCGTTGTATAATTGATATATCTAATATTATTTTATTATTATTTATTTATTTAATCCCATTATTAATTGCCACTATATTTAAATATATATTTTTTAATAATTCACATTTTTTTATAAACACACACAACACAATAAAATACTAGCCGCAAACGAAAAAAAAAAATAAACAATATTTTTAAATGTAGAAAAAAAAACATTCCAGTAAAAAAAGAAATTAACTCACTTATTTTTATAGACCAGGTAAAACTTCATTGTTTCGACCGACCACAGACAATAAAATAAATAAATAAATATCGTTTCAAACTGTCGTTTTCGTTACCTGTTCGCGAATGAAAAAAAAAGATTGTTTATTCTCAACTCTCGTTTATTTTAACCCCCAAAAAGGTCACACTTTAATTAATCATTATTGGCACGTTGCAACAATATTGATGTGTCAAACTCTATTTTTGTCTTCGTGGCTTTATTTTGGGTTAATTGTTTCTGTACTATCCGTATTTTATGTTACGTACATCATAGTACATAAATTTAGATCTAGGGATCCCGATCCATGTGTAATTAGGTACTTCTGAATGGATAAAAAAACCATACCGCGGTAGAATATCGAAAACATGTAAAGATGATAAAAAATCTACAATTCTAATTTGGAACGTTATTTTTTTATAATTGTCATAGACAAGAGATCAATGATAATGCAAAGGAAGAACATTGATAACTTTAATAGCAGGTAGTGATTTATCTCAGAAAGAAAATACCTAATAATATGTCATAGATAAAAAAAGAAATATATATACGTAGAATAATATAAATAATTTGGAACAAATTGCTAAGTCTTCGGTAGTATAGTGGTCAGTATCCCCGCCTGTCACGCGGGAGACCGGGGTTCAATTCCCCGTCGGGGAGGACTTTTTGTAGTAAGTTCTTTTTTTATAGAATTCAAAATTTTTTCATTGTTTATTGTAATATCAAAAAGAAAAGTATTGTAATATTATTTTTTTTTTATTAAATTAGCCCAAAGACTAACGCTTAAGGGATCAAAGATATTTATTCAAGATCGTAAAAAAAACGCGGAATACTTCTGATGTCCCAGACGCTCATATACTACGGTAACCACTTACCATCCGGCGGGCCGTATGCTTGATTACGTTCCATAGTGGTATAAAGAAAATTAAAAAAAATAAATCATACTGTTAAATATACAGGTGGACCGGTATTTATTTAGTCAGAACTGACAAAAATATGACGTACAAACACAAATGTTTACATTAATTAATATAATACATGCTGGTGTTTTTTTTTTTTTGTTTGGTGAAAATGGTATGGTAACCCCGCCTGCGCTAACGGGATACGCTGGCGGAGCACCAGTGAAGGGTGATAGATGAGAATGGAAACAGGCCAGTTAGTCCATCATGATGAATTCATCGGGAATTAACCACGATAGTTTCTAGGGAGAACCACGAGGAGGTCGACCTGGTTGGGTATATTGCTAGCAATGGGATTTTTAGTCTTCAATACTAACATACCAATACCTTTCCCCCCCGGTTTGAAGGGTAGGATATGGCAGTGAATTTACAGGGTACAGAAGAATAACACCTGAGTCCTCAGGAATGTCCCCGCATGGGGGGTATCATGGGCGAAACAGTATAATCTGTTATGTCCATGGTACTGCTCATGTGTATAGGCGACGGTTACCACTTTCCATCAGGTGGGCCGTCAGCTTGTTTGCCATTCTAAGTTGTATAAAAAAAAAAAAAAGAAATTAATTTATGCTTGAATGCCAATTTGCTTGTAGCAGATATATGTACTGATTTCACAGGCAAAGCCGGGGAATACAGCATGCATGTTATTTCATATATGGTATTTAGTTTTTTGTTTTTTTTTTTTGTTTTTCATTCTTTTATCTCTTTTACTGTGTATTATGTGTATGTTTGTATTGTAATTTGTGTGCTGTAAGTAATGTAAATAAATTATCTATCTATCTGTCTATAAGTCGTTATTGTCAAATACCGTTTGACTTCATTCTCCGCAGCTTTTTTGTCGTTTTTTTGATGTAAGCCACCGTGTTTTCTGCAGACCAGCCACTTCTGATTCATCACCTGTAAACAAAGATAGATTTACTGTGTATAAGATGTAGTAAACTTTTGTATTGTAATTTGTGTGTTCTTTGAGCTAGTACCAGCTCATTGCCACTAAATCATTACATTATAACTATAAAAACTATTCTGTTTTATTCTTATAAGATCGTTATTAAGTCAACAAATTATTAGAACTATTGAGGACAGAAAGGGAAAAATGTTGGGACCCTTGATACGACACGCCCAACTTATGAACATTATAATAGAAGGTAAGGTAGCGCGTTGGGGTGCGACAAAATCAGGCAGATCAAGGAAGCAGTTGGTGTCGTGTCGTATCAAGATGTAAGAGACCGTGACAATCCATTCTGCAGACCAGCCACTTCAGCCGGTGATTCAGGTTTTAATAATTCCTTCACCTATAAAAAGATTGATAGATAGATAGATACTCTTTATTGTTCCCTCCATAAGATTACAATAGTAAACTTATTATAAATACAGGCTCGCCACTCAACAACCTTTCTTCCCCATCGGTTGTCGGTTCTTCGAGCTACGTGACCAGCTCATTGCCACTACAGCTTGCCTATCATTACACTGTGATAATATTATAAAAACTATTCGTAGATTTTATTCGAATTAGCAATGAGGAGTTCCTGCTTAGGGTTAAGGCAAAAAGACAAATTATTAGAACTATTGAGGACAGAAGGGGAAAAATGTTGGGACACTTGATACGACACGACCAACTTATGAACATTATAATAGAAGGTAAGATAGAAGGGAGGAGGGGGAGAGGGAGAACGAGGCATAGTTACATCAGGCAGACCAAGGAAACAGTTGGTGTCGTGTCGTATCAAGAGGTGAAGAGACTCAAGAGATTCGTAAATTTTAATAATTCCTTCACCTATAAAAAGATTGATAGACAGATAGATACTCTTTATTGTTTCCTCCATAAGGTTACAATATTAAACTTATTATAAATTCTCGTTCGCCACTCAACAACCATTCTTCCCCATCGGTTGTCGTTGTCGTTTTTTAAGCCATATATTTCCTAAACACTTTTAAAACACTAAAGCACTCGGAAATACCTTTCTAAAGAGCACTGTAAAAAGTTAATAGCATCAAAATTGAGCAAGTTATGATAAAAATAAGATGACACTTTCAAATTTTTTTTGGAAAATAACGAAAACTTGCACTACTACTGCCCACTCACTACTTCCTATGCCACTGCGTCAGGTTGACTGGAAGAGATCTCTTTTAGAGATAAGTTCGCCTTTGCTAACATTGTTATTAACTTATTGTTGTTACTGTATGTTTTAGTGCAATAAAAAATATATAAAAATATAACCTACAAAAAAACCTGCAAAAATTCAATGTTATGGTTATCCATGAAGGACTTTCTTTTTTTTTAGCATAAGTGACGACCTCAAATTTTTTGCCCGGTTAAGAATGTTTATTTTTGAAAAAAGTATAAAAATCGAAATTTTTCAAATTATCGTAAATTTTGTTTTCTTTTTAAGAAAACAACTTCAAAAATGTTGGATATTCGTAAAAATTATAAAGAACGAAATTTGAGTCCTCTTTTTTTACAAAGATTTTGGTTCTTTTGTTTATTTTTATAGGTAGAAAAATAACCGAGATAGAGACGTTTAAAGCCTAAGTTTTACTGCGAGAACCATGTAACCGGAACCTTTTAATGCTTTTTCCTTTAAAAAATAAGAGCTTTAAAAAATATTATTTGAGACAATCTTATAGCTCTTGAAATTACCTTTCAAACAGTTTTTGGATGAACCTGATATCTTAAAAATTAACGGAGTTATTGTAAAAAACAAATTTTATTTTTTTGGAATAATTTTTGGAGCAGAGATTTGATATGCATATATTATAGGAAAACGTGACAATAGGTACATGCTTACTAAATACACATATAGGTGTGTGTATGTATGTTTGTAATGAATAAACTCAAAAACTACTTTGCCGATTTCAAAAAATCTTTCACCATTAGAAAGCTACATTCGCCCTGAGTAGGTAAGATTAGGAATACTTGCTAAAACTTTAGTAACGTAACTCGAGGTGTAAAAAAATGCTATAAAATATCTTTGGTCGCGCGCGCTGCGGAAACTATTGGTGATAGAACAAAAGTATGTTCTGCAATATTGAAGAAAATATCGATAACTACAAAAACTTAGCGACACTATATGTCCAACTATTATCGTTATGTCACAATGACCACTTTTTAAAATGTTGTAAAAATGTCCACCCGTGCGAAGCAGGGACAGGCTGCTAGTGTATGTATATATTTATTTATTTAATATATTGTATTTATGTTTCTATTAGTCTATTTATATGTATATATCAAGCTATTGCTTTATATTTCCTCTATTCAATAATGCACCGCCTACTTATTTCTCTGTTCGCCCAATGGTCGACTGGTAGAGAATACCGTCCGGTGTTAAGTCCGCCATATATGTACATAGTTTCACTGTACATTTAAAGTTTAAATAAAAATTAAAAAAAAAAAAACAACAAACGAATTGAGTACCTCCTTTTTTGAAGTCGGTTTTGAAAACATTCCGTCAAATCAACAAAGAAGATCGACTTAATTTATACCGATTTTGTATTACGCAATTTGATCTGTCGCCAATCGTCGCGCCAATGGCAAGCCGGTTGCCAATTGTTTATTTACAGCATATGTACTATGTCAATGCCAAACTTTGATCGATCGGTATAGATATAGGTTTTAGGGTTCCGTACCTATATTGAAAGATAATAAAAGTACCTCTTTTGTTAAGGGATTGGCTGGAAACCAGCGCTGTGCAGGTGGGAATGGTGCCAATAATGTGCAATACCAGTCCCATTGCTAGCAGTATACCCTGTCAGGTCGACCTCCACGTGTTTCCCCCTGGAAACCATCGTGCTGAATTCCAAGTGTATTTATCACGATGGGCTAATTGACTTGCTTTTTCATCTTCACCTATCATCCTATGCGTATACCGATAGCGCGGGTGGGGTTACCATTCCATTATCATCTATTAAAAAAAAGGCTATCGATTGTATAGGTTTTAGGATTCCGTACATGGAAATATAATAAATGTATCTCATGTAATCTATTTAATATATAAAATTCTCGTGTCGCGATGTTTGTTACTTAACTCCTCTGAAACGGCTTTACCGATTTTTATGAAATTTTGTGTGCATATCGGGTGAGTTTGAAAATCGGCCAACATCTATTTTTCATACCCCTCAATCATAAGGGTGACCCA